CGGGGGTGTCCCCGATGTCCCCAAACCCATAGGGAGTGTCCCCAACCCCATCAGGGGTGTCCCCAATGTCCCCAACCCCACAGTGTCACCTCAGCCCCATCGGGGGTGTCCCCAATGTCCCCAAACACAGCGAGAGTGTCCCCAACCCCATCAGGGGTGTCCCCAATGTCCCCAAACCCACTGGGGGTGTCCCCGATGTCCCCAAACCCATAGGGAGTGTCCCTGATGTCCCCAGCCCCACAGTGTCACCTCAGCCCATCAGGGGTGTCCCCGATGTCCCCAAACCCACCGGGGGTGTCCCCGATGTCCCCAGCCCCACGGGGTCAACCCCGCCCCATCGGGGGTGTCCCCAATGTCCCCAAACCCATTGAGAGTGTCCCCGATGTCCCCAAACCCATAGGGAGTGTCCCCAACCCCACAGTGTCACCTCAGCCCCATCGGGGGTGTCCCCGATGTCCCCAACCCCATAGGGAGTGTCCCCAACCCCATCAGGGGTGTCCCCAATGTCCCCAACCCCACGGGGTCACCTCCGCCCCGTAGGGAGTGTCCCCAGTGTCCCCTCACCCCTCCCGCGTGTCCTCTCCCGTGTCCCCGCGGTGTCCCCGCTGTCCCCTGACCCCTCCCGCGGTGTCCCCGCGGTGTCCCCGCTGTCCCCTCACCTGTAGGTGAACGCAGCCGTGCCCAGGGCGGCCGCCACCAGCACGAGCCCCACGAACAGCGTGGTCCGGCCGGTGACCGGAGCGGCTCCTGGGGACAGCGACAGCTCAGCGCCACCCGGGGGGCCTTGGGGACATCCCCTCGGGACCTGTCCCCCTGTCCCTGTCACCTCCGACACGGCAGGGACAGCTCAGCGCCACCCGGGGGACCTTGGGGACATCCCTGGACCCTGCGCCACCTCCTCCAAGGACGGGGACAGCTCAGCGCCACCCGGGGGACCTTGGGGACATCCCTGGACCCTGCGCCACCTCCTCTGGGGACAGGAACAGCCCAGCCCCATCCAGGGGACCCTCGGGGACATCCCCGTGTCCCTGTCACCTCTGTGCCACCTCCTCCGAGCCAGGGCCAGCTCAGCCCCACCCAGGGGACCTTGGGGACATCCCTGGACCCTGCGCCACCTCCTCTGGGGACAGGAACAGTTCAATCCCACCCAGGGGACCCTCGGGGACACCACCCCCGTGTCCCTGCCCCCTCCCCCACCCGGTGGCCCCCTCAGTCCCGGTGTCGCACCTCCCACGGCCACCCGGGTGGTGGCCACTGCCAGCCCGTTGCCGTTGGCCAGGGACACGTTGAGGCAGAAGAGGCCGGAGCGGTTGAAGTCCTGGCGCAGCACGAGCTCGCAGCCCGGCGACGGCGACACCGGCGAGCAGCGCTCCTCCTCGGCCGTGCGACACTCGGCGTCCGCCACCACCGTGCACACCTCCTCGGGCAGCCTGCGGGCACGGCCGTCACCGCGGGGACAGCGCGCTGCTGTCCCCTCTGGCCCCGCTGTCCCCTCTCTGTCCCCGCTGTCCCCTCTCTGTCCCTGCTGTTCCCGCTGTCCCTGCTGTCCTTGTCCCTGCTGTCCCCTCTGTCCCCTCTGTCTCCTCTGCCCCCTCTGTCCCTGATGTCCCCTCTCTGTCCCTGCTGTTCCCGCTGTCCCTGCTGTCCCCTCTGTCCCTGCTGTCTTTGTCCCTGCTGTCCCCTCTCTGTCCCTTCTGTCCCCGCAGCCCCCGCTGTCCTTGCTGACCTCGCTGTCCCCTCTGTCCCCTCTGTCCCTGCTCTCCCCGTTGTCCCCTCTGTCCCCGATGTCCCCTCTGTCCCCACTGTCCCCACTG